GTTTTCTTAAATCCCATATGAATTTTCACTATAAAGGACTATTCTTATTTTTTCCATATCATTAATTCAAAATGCTATGGATCACTGATTTTTGGATTGTCAATTTTTTGGACTGTCAATTTTCAAGATTTTCAAGTATTTATAGATATATTGATCTACACAGTTTTTTAAGCTTTAAACTTTATAAATAAATATAAAAATATATTTTAAGGCTATCACAAAGGTTTTTAGTACATTTTTTTATACTATTTGAAAGTACGCTCTAATTTGGTTGTTAAGAGCCTAGGCTCTATACAAACCGCACTCTTCAACCATTGCCATAAAAATTTGAGAAAATAAAAACCTCCAAAAACATATTTTTTACACACTTTACCCCACCCTAAACTCCCTTCACTTATTTTTCTCAAAAAGCATATTTTATAATTAATACCCCCAACTCATAAAGTTACATTTTTTTTTTCTTTAATGAAAATACACTCCTTTTCCATGTCAAATCATTTTCGAATCCCAATAAAAGAAAACTCCAGACCACATTTGTACAACCCCGGACTGCTCAGTCTGGCTTACTTCAAAATGTCGGACTGCCCTTAAAAAATTCTGGATCGCCATATCAAAACACCACCGCTTCAAAATGCCGGACCACAACTCTAAAATGTCGGAACATAAATTTCAAATACAAAACCGCTCATTCCAACAAAAAAATAATCCGCCACCATAAAATGATGGACCGCCACTATAAAATGCCTGACCGCCACTATAAAATGCCGGACCGTCACTATGAAACGTTAGACCACCATAAAAAAATAAATAGTTGGACTGCTTGTTCAAAATGCCGGACCACCCTCCCTAACGAAAATAATTTGTTATGCGAAGAAAAACTATTTTCGTCGAAAATAATTGAATTTGTTGTGTAAGGGTATTAGCTAGAAAACAACAGGTTTGCAACCCTGACGTTGTGCCGAAGACATATTGCCACGTGGCAATCTCAGCAGCTATAATTATGTGAGCCTGAAGGCGACAGCCCCACCAACCCAATCTTCTGAGCAAATTTAAAATGCCATCCAACTTGTCACTAAATTCCACGTGGCATTAGACTAATGGGCCACGTCAATACCTCGGAAATGACATCCGTAAAAGAGCTTAGTTCAAAATCTGATCTTTCAAATGTCCACCGTCTATCGAAACGAACGGCAAGACTTCTCCCCCTCAGAGCAATACCAGCCGTACGATCGTTGAAACATGCTCCACCTTTAACGTAGTTTAAATTGACTGTAAAAAAAAATAAAAAAATCTGATCGCACTCCGTCCTTCTCTCGGTTACAGTTGTTACTTTATTAGGGCAAAAACAGAACCATCTTTAATGGCGTTTTTGAATTTCGGGCGTTTTGATTTGAATCTATCATTATACAATTCCACTTGTGTAAGTGACCGTTTTCATGTCTTTCTCGTTAAAGCTCGTGTTTTTTTGTCTGGTTTTCCTTTTAAAACCGTCTGTTTTTTTTTCTTTTTTCAAACTTTTTAATGGAGATGATTAGCTTGCGGGCTTGGCTTCATCTCTCTCCTTGTTTATTTGTTTAATGATTTGACCGTTTCCATGGAGAAATCTATTAAGGGTGAGATATTTATGATGACAGTTGCAGAATAGGGGTTTTTTGGGGCGGAAATGGCGTGGGTTTTGGTTTCAGGGTTAAAAGATCGAGCACTTTTGATTTTTGTTTGAGCTTTCTTTTGTTCAATCTTAAAGTCGAGGGTAAAGTTCCGTTTCCCTGTAAATGGTTAAAGGTCGAGCTCTTTGTGCTGTTTCTAGGGTTTGATTTGCGATTACTGTGTTGGAACTGTGGATAATGGTCGATATTATTGATTGATTAGAACTTTTTTGTGTTTTGATTGGAAAAACCGTAAAAGGTCAAGCTTTTTTTGAAAAATGATTTATACTTGATTTTATTGCAGAGGAAGTGGAAGCTCTTGTTTGTTCTTGAACTGGAAATGATTGAGCTGCTCAGTTACTTCTTGTGAAGAATCAGTAGAAGCAGCTCACAGAAAAAGGTAGAAAAAAAAAAAAAGGTTTGAAATCTTTTACACTTGAGCTGTTCTCATGTCCTGGCCTTTTTTCTGAAGATTTTTTCAGAATCCCTATTTTTTGATTTCAACTATAAGAATAAATGGCGAGATTCATTTTAATTGAACTTCATCTCTTTTGTTTTAAGTTCGATTTTCCCCCTTGAAACCGCTAAATGTCCGGTGCATTTGTCTGTGTTCAGATTTTTTCCGAGTCTTGAAACTGATAGCAAATTCGTGAAAAGGACGTGCTTATGATTAATTTCGTTCTTTTGATTGATAGAGTTGAATGTAGACTTGAAATAAACATAGTTTCAACATTTCATTGATTACAGTCCTAATAGTGCTCCACTATGGCTTTCAGAGAAGAAATTAATGAAATTTTTATCTTTGAACAAGCATTAATCTGAAATCACAGATCTTTAAAACAACCATTAAACTCAAATCACACCATCGATTGCAGTCCAAATAGAGCTCCATTGTTGTGAGAAGAAATCAAAGAAAGTGAGCTATTGAAAACTGGGATCCGCTTCAGATCGTCGAGAATTCCATCAGTTACTGTTACAGAAAGAAAAGACTGCTTCTCATTGATTTGCATTTGAATTGCACAGCTGCAGAAGAGGGATCAAAGGTCTTTTACTTCCAATTTTGGAAAGGTATGATTTTCCTCTTCTTCTTATTTTTTTTTGTTTTTCTTCTAAGGTAGAGAATGATATAAATATGGAATTTGACATTAAAATAAAATAAAAAGTATACATAAAGTTTGATTTTTTTCTGGTAGAAGTTTTCAACATTAAATGTAATTGGAAGCTCTCCAAGATTCATGATCATGGGGGCATGAAAAAAAAGAATAAAAATTGTAGAATTTATTTATTCTTCTTCTTGCCAAGTTAGTAAACAGGGTATATAATGTTTCCTTTTTCTTCTTCTTCTTTTGCTTTTACAAAAGATTATATAAGTAAGGGTGAGGTTTGTATAACGTTGAGGCCTTAAGCAACCAAAGTAGGGCCTGCCTTCATTGAAAGACATCGTTTCAGTACTAAAAATTGTTACCATGGCCTGAAAATTTATTTTCATCCCTATTTAAAAAATTCAAAGCTTCAAAAACGCATAGATCAAGCAGTTCTATGAATATTTGAAAATCTTTAAATATTCACGGTTTAGATAATGCAATACAAGATGCACTATTTTCAAGATTTGAAATCCACTTTTTTTTTTTGACGACATAATGCAATACAAGAGGCACTATTTTCAAGATTTGAAGTCCACTTTTTTTTTTTGACGACATGACTGGTTTTTTTAGGATGTATCTAAAGTCGAGATGATCGGATTTCAGAATTTTTCGGCATTGAAACAATTTATTCTTGTGAATTTTTGAGGTGCGCCTTAGTTTGATTGTTAAGGGCCTCAACCTTAAATAAACATTTTCTTATAAGTTTATTGTGAGAACAGTACAGGTTTTTAATGCAATTCGTGTTATAAAAAAGTAATTGAGTGCTTGAATTGCAGTAACTCCAACATTTCCCAGATTTATTTGATTGTTTTCATTGTTATCATAAAATTAATGCAATTATTGCTTCTTTTTTCACTTTTGGTTTTGTGAAAAGTGAAAATCAATCTGGTACTCACATTCCTTCTTTCATATGATTAAATAATAACTGGATGTAATGAATACCACGTACTTGAGTAATGATAATGTCTCATGTTAATGTTTTTTCTTGCAATTAAGTATTGATTATGCTCATTATTTTGTTTTGTATTATGTGGAAAAAAGAACTTATTAATGTAAAAATTAGATGGATATATCATCGTCATCATAGTTTTTTTCCAATTAATTGAGTGTACTAAAATCAGAAGGATATATGGATAAAAAAATTTCCTTTCTTTTAAAACCAGTGCTAAAAGAATTGAATTCAGTCCCGACTCCTGATAGCAAGGGTCTGCTTCTAATTCTCGCCATTCAGATCCTCGATTTGGACCAGGTTTACAAAGAACTTAAAAAATTACAGAACCAGAATATTGGGTGACTGCAGTGATTTTACATCAGGAATTGTCCACCTCCTAGTTCCGATTCGAATCAGCGATTTATTGAAATACTTATATTAAATGATAGTTAACAGGTTAATTTTGAAAGGGATTAAGTTAAAAGTGATGAAATTCGCCCAATTTCTTGGCAATTAAAAATAATAAATATTTTTTTTAAAAAAAAAAAATGCCGACCGAATCCACTCGTTCCATCTTATTAAATAATTAGAAAAATAAACTAAACCTTTAATTTATGGATTGTTTACCTACTTTCTGTTTCTTTTCTATTCTTTTTTGGGTGAACATTTCTTTTCTATTCTATAATCACAAAGTGATCAATTGGTTGAACGTGTGGTCAAGATGCAGAATTTTTATTGCCTTGTGATCTGGGCCGTTGCTTTGCAACTGCCACAGAAGAGAGAGAGAGAAGATTGAGACTGTAAAGTGCAAGTATGAATGGCATGTGTGGCAGTTTTAACTTTTCTTTATGAGCGTGTTCAGGGGCATCCGGTGAGAGAGAACCACGTTGCCCACTTTTAGAGAGAGAACCCACGTTCACCTTCTTAGAGAGAGAAACCAAGGTTACCACTTTAGAGAGAGGGAGAGGGAGAGGGAGAGGGAGAGGGAGAGAGCGTTAGTTTGGACGTGAGAGAGAGAAAGGTTGTGGCTTAATTTGTTAGAGAAAGAGTGAGAAAGAGAGAGCTTATGGCTTAATTTGTTAGAGAGAGAGAGAGCTTATGGCTTGATTTGTTGTATGTGTATGTGAGAGAGACAGAGGGTGACTGTTTGATTTACTGTGAATTAGGCTAATTGGTGTTGTGTGACGGTTGGAGTAACCTTTCTCTTCCCCATCAACCAAGGTGACAACTATAGAGAGAGAGAGACTGTGATTTAGTAGGAATAAGGATAACTGTTGTTGTGGGAGCAGTTACAGTAACCTCTCCCTCTCTCTCTCTATCTGTGGTTTCAATAAATGCAAAGTCATGAGTTTGGTGGTCCTTCTTTTGTACTTTGCATGATTTTGTTAGTTGGCGTCTAGATTTCAGGGACAAGCAATCTGTGATCTACAAGCTTCTCGAAAGTCTGCATTCAAAGCCTTCCCTTTCTCTTTGCTCACAAGCATCTCCTCCCATTCTCTCTCTCTAAACTTGTTGGTAAACAGAATAAGAAGTAGTTTTTGGCATCGAGCATATAGTTTTGATTTTCTCTTTCTAACCTTGCAGGGAGGAAGTATCAATTCCTAGCCTCAAAGAAACAAACCCATCTTGTTTCAGGCGAGAAAAAGATGGTTGAAGAAGAGAGAGAAGAAGAGGAGAGAGAGAGTGCCATGGATACGAAGTCCACAGAGGATTGGCTCAGATATGCTGAGGAACTGGTCCCAATAGCCATAAAGAAGGCAACCATGGTGAAAGTTTTCTTGGGTAAATGGAAACTCATATCATCCAAATTGGAGCAGGTACCCCAATGTTTATCTTCTCTCTCTAGCCACCCCTGTTTCTGCAAAAACTCTCTGTGTAAAGAGCAGTTGCAGGCAGTCTCTGCAACTTTGCAGGAAGCCATTGATTTAGCGGACTCGTGTTTGGAAGAGAAATACACAGGCAAGCTTCAGATGCAGAGCAATCTCGACTCTCTCCATACGAAACTGGACTTGAATCTCCATGACTGTGGCTTGCTTGTAAAGACCGGACTTTTGGGTGAAGCCACTTTGCCATCAACTGTTACAAGATCAGGAGCAGCGGCGAGATTGGAGGCCATGAAATGGAATATCAGAGAGCTCTTGGCTAGGCTTCAAATTGGCCGTATCGAGGCAAAACACAAAGCTCTTGATAATTTGCTAGAAGCCATGAAAGAAGATGAAAAGAATGTGTTATCGGTTTTGGGCCGAAGCAATATCTCTGCAATTGTTCAATTGTTGGGCTCTGGTTCTCATAGGATGAGAGAGAAAGCGGCAATGGTGGTGTGTTATTTGGCTGAATCAGGGAGTTGCGAAAGTCTTTTGGTTCCTGAGGGTGCGATTCCACCGTTAATCCGATTGTTAGAATCCGGAAGTCCAATCGGTAAAGAGAAAGCTGTGATTACATTACAAAGGCTTTCGATGGCGTCTGAAACTGCTCGATTGATTGTTGGTCATGGAGGAATCCCCCCATTAATCGAGATTTGCAGAAATGGGGTCTCTGTTACTCAAGCAGCAGGAGCCGGAACTCTGAAGAATTTATCAGCTGTACCTGAAATACGGCAAAATCTAGCAGGAGAAGGGGTTATTAAGATTATGTTAACCCTCTTAGACTCTGGTATTTTGTTAGGTTCAAAGGAATACGCTGCCGAATGCTTGCAAAATCTAACAGCCAGCAACGAGAGTTTGAGGAGATCGTTGGTTGCAGAAGGGGGGATTCAGCAGCTGCTAAGGTACCTCGATGGCCCATTGCCCCAAGAATCTGGAGTTGGGGCGCTGAGAAATTTGGTGGGTTCGGTCGCTATCGAGGCTCTTCTCTCTCTAGGCCTTCTTCCTCGACTGGTTCATGTTCTCAAAGCTGGGTCTTTAGGGGCTCAACAGGCTGCAGCTTCAGTGGTTTCGAGGGTGTGTAATTCTAGAGAGATGAGGAAGTTAGTGGGAGAAAGTGGGATCCTTCCTCTTCTTGTGAAGATGTTAGAGGCCAAGACAAATTCGGCTCGAGAAGTTGCAGCTCAGGCTCTTTCAAATTTGTTGGTTTGTCCTCAAAATTGCAGAGAGATGAGGAAGAGCGAGAAAGGGGTGCCAAGCCTGGTCCAGTTGCTCGATCCGGGGCCTCAAAATTCAGCTAAAAAGTACGCGGTTTCGTGTCTCGGATACCTCTCTAGCAGCAAGAAGTGCAGGAAGTTAATGGTCTCCTATGGAGCAATTGGGTATCTGAAGAAGCTCTGTGAAATGGAGGTTCCTGGTGCCAAGAAGCTCCTTGAGCGTCTAGAGAGAGGAAAGTTGAGAAGCATCTTCAGCAAAAGGTAGATTAGATGCAGATTCCTCTCTCTCTCGACAATGTATGTATATACGATTGTACCTGGATATGCCTTTTGGGTAATCTTAAGAATGCTTGTATGAGATAGAGGTTCTATATACCGAGAACCTTCTTGGAATTTCAGAGAGCAGAAAGTTAGGGAGGTAGAAGTTGGGTTTTCTCTCACTAAACTTATGTTTTAGTTTCATTGGCTCTATGAAACACTACTCTATTGTAAACATGGAGTACCTTGATCTTGGTGTAAAATCTATGAGGGTTAAAACTCTCCAAGTTCTATATAATATTTTATCTTTTGCTTTTGGCACCATGGATCATATGTTCGTCCTAGCCAAGTTTAAGAGGATTCTATTTAGAGTTAAAAAATAAGGTTCGGACTTGGGATCTGGTAGGGTTTGGAGTTCCGAATCTCCCGAGTCCAATTCGTACTGAGGTGCACGAAGCAGCCAAGTTTGGGCTACTCCTGCAAGTACATAGTCTGAGTTACTTGGGTAAGCTCGAGTGGAGCCGAGTTTTAAAACACTACATTATTTTCCTCGTGGCCAAACACTGTTTGTCCGCGCATATGTTCTGTTAAGTTCAGGCAGTTATTGCACCATAAATTGAGGGATGCATGTGGGTTGGACAAAATCGATCCGACCCGGGTCTAGAGCCAGTATTAGCAGCTCCATGTCCAACAGATCTGTCCCATTTGCTGCCCAACCCGAACCCCTATTTTATTGGCGTCATATATGGCTTCTCATTCAGTAAAATTAATGTTTTAAAGGTGTGGTTTGTATAAGGTTGAGGCCAAGCTATCAATGTGAACACGTTGACAGCCCTATTTTATAGGTGTGATAAAATGGTTTCTCATTCAGTATAATTAATATTTTAAAGGTGTGGTTTATATAAGGTTGAGGCCCCAAACCAATGTAAGGCGCCCCTCCAAATATTGCTCTAAGATGATATTTCATTAAGAAAAGACTTTGTGATGACCTGAAAATTTATTTTTATATTTAATTATAAAATTTAAATTTTTAAAATAGTGTCACTCCAATAAATCTATAAATATTTGAAAATATTGAAAATTGATAGTCCAAATATACATTATAAGATGCGCTACTTCCCTTACTTGAAAGCACTATACCAATGACAGATATAAGATAGAATGTGTGTGCATCCAAATTTTTATAACCGGGACTTATTCTGATCATGCTCCTTTCATAATTTAAAACGCTTTCTTGATACTTACCCATACACTACTTTTTAGTGCTTTAAATTTAATTATGAGTAAAAATAGGTTTCCATGTTGTCGTAGGGCTTTTCAGGCAATATATATTGAAGGGAAGCTTTTTATCATAGTTTAATATTGGGAAAAAATTTATATAGAGCCCAAACTCTAAAAAATCAAATTAAATAAATTTCAAGCTTTGAAATAATGTATATTGTAACATATCTTCAGATCGTCAATTTTTAGATTTAGTTTTCATAGATCTGCTTGATCTACACTATTTTTGAAATGTTAAATTTTTTAATTAAAGACAAATATATATTTTTAAAGCTATCACAAAAATTTCCGGTGGTACAACCACATTTATCGATACTATATGAAGGTGCACTTTGCTTTGATTGTTTAGAGCATCGGCACTATACAAACCGGCGCCTTATATAAAGTATAAATTGCACCCTACTTTTATTTACTTGCGTTATATTACCTGAATACTTGAGGCAATTGATACGCCCAGCATGAATTTAATACCTATTTATATCTCTCAATATTCAATAAAGGGCAGAGTTTATATAGAGCTAAACGATTAAATTTGAGCTTTATCCCAAAAAATTTATTAAAAGATGTTTTGATGTTCAAATATCTTCAAATTGATCATCTCGACATCAAGATGCATAGACATGAGAAAACAATTGGATTTCAAGTTTTGAAAATAGTACATTTTGTAATGTATTTTTGGACGGTCAATTTTCAAAATTTTCAAATTCTCATAGACCTATCGATCTACACTATTTTTGAAGCTTTAAACTTTATAAATAAATATGAAAATATATTTTAAAGCTATCACAAAGATTTCCAATAATGAAACCACAATTCTCAACACTATTTAAAGATAGGCTCTAATTTAATTGTTTAGAGCCTAGGCTCTATACAAACCACACCCCTCAGATAAATGTCCTTCAGCATGAAATTTAATACCTATATATATTTCTCTGAAAGAAAAATTCATAGTTATTCAAAATATATGATACTAGCTTTCAAATAGCAATTATATTTCTGTGAAATAAGATCAAAAGAAGCAGGATCTAGTGATTTATTCTTGCAGTTTTTTCATGGAGGAAAGGATTCTTTTGCATTATCTTAATTTAAACAGAATTTGTATATCTTTTGTTTGATATATTGCAGCTTTATTTTACTTTAATTTTGTAAAACCTCCCACTAGAAATGAATCCAACATGTTGTCTCTTTTGTTCGTCTATAGAACAACCTTTTCTGGATGGTCTCATGAATGTCAGGGTGCATGCAAATGGTGATTTGTGAATTACATTCGATCTTTGAAGCTACCGCTTTGGCAAGAAAAGGATCTAACCATGGAGGAGATCTCAAAGCCAGAACCGTTCCCATTCAACTTGGAATTCTGTACAATCTCAGTTGCAATTTTGTATAGCATTAAAACATGAAAATCAATTTTGTAAAGCTGCTTCCGCACATTTTAGCAGAAAACGATGAAAAAAAATTTAGGTCACCGGTTCCACAGAGAGAGAGAGAGACCTATGGCCCTTTCTATGCTTCCTACAATCACAAAGTCTTTAGAACCCACTTACAGATGATTTAGGAAAAGAATTCCACAAGCTTGGAACCAGTCCCTGGTTCTTTGAGAAGATCTGAAGCACTTAAATTGCAAAGACTTGAATGCTCCTGTAGCATAAACTAAAAAGTCTGATTCAATTTCAGGGAAACTTTCTATGGACAGGGCGACTTTTTTTTCCAGCATCCTTGGAAGCCCCAAAGTCTATACATTTGTCGGATGTCGGCTCCTGCTCTAATTACACTTCTGGACTGTCCATTTACGCGAGAATAGGATCCCTGGTAGTAAGAGCCGAAAAGAAATATCTTCCTCTTTCACTTTTTCTTTTTTGGTGATCGATCACAATGTCAATGAAGACAAGTCTGCAAAATTCCAGGCCTAATATCCTCCTAATATGGTTTTTCAGGCTTCCATCAACTCTGCAGAATGGGCTGCCCAATTCATAGGTGGTTTTTCCTTTCATTTTTATACTAACATAACAGATCAGTTCCTTAGAACAGGCAACCCCCTCTTTCTAAATTAGAACCGCTAATATTTAGAATCCAAACCTTCAAAGTTTGACTCTCTGCCTACTAAGTACAAAAAATAAACAATGGTCTCCTAAATATATATATTAAATAAATAAGACAGTTCAAGAGGGATTACATACTACAATTAATCAAGAAGAGAATGAGACTCAGCTTGATAGAAGAGGATCTGGATATACAAGCAGATGAAGGCTCTGACCATGCATGGATATATGAGGCTTCATAACCATCCTGCAACTTCTTAACCTGCCACTTCTTAACCTGCTCAAGGAAAATTACACTCATTTTTAGCGCACATCATCTTGACGCCGGCAAACATGCCATAAAGAGATATTGAACAAAAAAAAAAGGAAAACCAAAAGCCTAGATGACTCTTTCAGAAGAGTCAGAAAACAATCAGTGCCTGGCAATCCATTTTAACGCTCAGATGGGCTCAGTTCTTTTTCTTTTCAAATTATTAATCCAGCATAGTGTTTCAGAGACCATTACCAGATCTTGGCTTTAGCCAAATCCTATTGGATGATCTTTCTAAGGTTGGTAAAGCAGGGGCTTATATAATATTGGGGAGAGTGTGTATGGTGTTGTGAGGATGTGTCATGTTGTGTGTGTGTGTATGTGTTTTTGTCGTGTGCTATGCTGTGTATTGTGTGTTTTTAAATGCTACAAAGAATAGTCAACAAAATTGTGTAATAATCATCAAATTCTACAAAGATAAGTCAACAAAATTGTGTAATCACTAGTGTTATATGCAACAAGAGAGTCATATTGGAAAAGTAGATGTAAGAAGGCATTTCTGAACAGGAATCAAGGTTTCAAAAAACACTAGGCAGCCGGCCTGATGCCCAGCACCCAGGCAGGCACCCTGTAGTAGAAATTTTGCCCAATCTCTGATCTTGGATGTTGGTTACCTCAATCGAGCTACTAATCAACTCAAAAGTCTTGTAATACCTCCAATAGCACCCTAAAAATAATTTTAATGAGAAAAAGAAACTTTTTTAATCCACAATAAATACTTTACATTCATAGAAATTATTTTAGATTCTCATAAATATGTTTAGCATAGAGATTGAAGGTATTTTCTTAACTTTGTGAGTTAAAAATAACCCCTATAATATATTTATACTATCTTGGGGGTCAAAATGACCCCTTTGCCCTTTTGAGCAACTTGAAAAAAACGAATAAGGGCCCATGGCCCTAGGTGCCCACCCGGAGCTGGGCACTGGGCGACCGCCTACGTACATCCACCTGTATTGGGCTGCTAGGGTCTAGGCATGAGGTGGTTATCATCTAGGGTGCCTAGGCGTTGGGCGGACTGTTTTTTGAAACATTGACAAGAATCCACATTTTTTATCATGAATCCACATTATATTTCATGCAGCTTCCGTGAAAATATTTTTTTAAGTTATTGTTTATCCTATTTTGTTTATTGAAGAAGGGGCTCAAAGCCTCCCACAAGTAGCTAGAGCTTGCCAAGAAAGATTCTGCACATCTAATTGTTCCGTGTCTATGATGTTACATTGGCAATGAAATGGCCATTGTCTCATATCACGGATATTTTGCAGAGTGCAAGTGAAGTCCAATATATATACAGGTTTCCCATAATAGAGCTAAGATAACCTAATCAGATACTGGTATTTTCCATCATCCACCATTGGAACATCCAAAATCCCACTTATAAGTCTACACCTTTTGACAAGAAAACCACATATGCTCCTCATGGATTGACCTCGAAAAAAGTGCAATTATAATGAGGAGCTACTACTCGATCAGTAACTCAATTGAAGTTATCAGACTCCAGATCTCACAAGCTGTATAGGTTGACACTGAGTTTCTATGATCTAAAGTCATCACAACTGACGATTGTTTGCGAAATTTTCAACTACATTGGTGACCAATATCTGGCTGCCTATAATCTCTGATGATGTGATCCCACTTGATTACTTATACAAGTGATTTTCTGGTTTCTTGGCATGACAAGAAAAGAGTTACAAAGTCCAAATCTATATCAGATGTGTATGTTAACCAGAGAATAAAAAGTATCCCAAGCCAACACATGCCAATCCCTGTATGCCCAGTTGGACACTTTAAAGTCGACATGTAATATTAAAAACACATTGGACATGGGTGTGGTTCTAACCCAATCCTTTCCCAAGTTTGTGCGGAAGCCCCAAGACAATTTCTCATATATACCTTGAACCTGTTTTATTATAAATTAATAATGATATGAATGTGCCTTGTCATAAAAGGTTTTAGGCAGAAATACTAGATCATGCTTCGGATTTGGCCACCCATGTTTCTAAGGTACATAACCAAGAATAGTGTCATGTCTTCTTTTTCTTTTTTTTTCTTTTTTTTGGGGGGGCTAAATCAAATATAGTTTCATGTTTGGCTAAATTAAATAAAGTGTCATGTCATTATGTGCAAAGCAACAGTGCAACACGCATTGGATACTTGTAATTGGAAGTTAGATCTAAGAGGGCAAGCCACACCACTTATTATTTTTCTGCTATGATAATATTAGTTTTGTTTGAAGTGCTCATACATGCAAAAGGATGACTAAGTTTTGTTTCCAAATGCAAAACAAAGCTACTGCTGAAGTCACACTTTTCAGAATTATCATGAATCATGAAAGCGTCATTTCGCAATAGGTTCTCAACAAGCTCCATAATACAGAACTAAATGATCCCTTCTAGCCAAGTCAATGAAGTTTATTGTTTATTTCTCAAATGTTATATCTGTGCTACTGCATGCCGGCTACCAATTCATTACAAGTAGCTTTGGGTGCAGAATTTTATTCTTCTCTTTTATAAACAGAAGACAGACATTATCCATACTGTCAAGGGCAAAATACACAATGCAACTGCTGGCCAAAGTATGAAAAGTACATGAATTGGGACCTCTATATGATCCAAAAATTAAACTTCTTACCAGGGTAGGAACCTGAGTGCTCCCACCAGTTGTCCAATATGTTCACACAAGCCATCCTTTCTCAAAAGAGATCTCTCAGTTATGATTAACTAGATTAAGAACACAATCGATGCATTAGTTATCCAAAAAGCAACAAGGAGGTGGAGGTGGAGGTGGAGGAGGAGAAGATAGAAGCAGTGTTCAAAAGCTCAGCAACTCCAACTCAGACTTGGCACCCTGCCGAGTCTGGAAAAGAAACCTTGGGAGTCATCGGGCCTCGCCGGCTCCCAAGGTTGTTTTGTTTAGTTTTCCAAGACTCATACAGACTCGGCCAAGTCAAGTTGCCCAACTAGGGTTGGGACCCAGTGTGTCCTGACCCAAGTCCTTGCTTTAAAACACTTGTTAGAGGCATTAACTATTCCCACAACCAACGAACCTGTAGAACTCAGCACATTGACAATCTCATCAAAAAACCAGTTATTCCATGTGGATGAGGTCAAACAAAGGGATCATGGGACGGCAACAACAGCATTTACCTGGGATGATGGACAAAAAGGGTGATAAGATGACCAACAATTTCTAGCATGCATAAAACCAAGAACATGCATGCCTGGTGTTAGAAACCATGGTAACAAGTGAGAAAAATGCGAATAAAAAAAACAACTAGCAACTGTCACAGTAGGCCATAAACAAAAGGACAGGAGTTTCAAGAATCAAAGGCTCTATGCCCATCTTTTGCAAGCTGCTCCATCTGAGAGATGAGGTCATCAATAGATGACTGTTTGCTTGACATAGCTCTTTCGGACCCAAGTGCCATAAAGTTTGTTTCCTCCCCTGTATCATCATATTCTTGACCTGCAGGACTAAAAAATTTCTCCCAAAATTTGTCATTGAGACTGGGGGAACCGTCACTTGCATCAAAAGCAAGCTGCAATTTCTCCTCCTGTTCAATAGAGTAATTAAATCCCGAGACTGAACCCTCATTCGAGGAGGAAGAACCAGCAAAATCAACAGAACCTACATTGACATTCATATCAGAAGCCACAACATTCTTCCCCTTTGAAGGGACATGATGTGAATGACACAAAACAGAGCTCGGTGGCCCTGTAAAAGTAGGGTAAGCAAAACCTCCCGATATATGACCAGCTACTGATGAATACATATGCTCTGTTGTTGAATCCTTCCCCAAATGTGTTCCTTCCTCTGCATCTGTTCCAGCATTGCCATATGCATCGCTTGAGAAATCATCTGGTAGTTCAAGATTTGTGATTTCATCAGGTTCCACATCCTGGGCAGAACGAGAAAAACCACTGGCATAGAAATCTGGTTCATATTTCACAATCTGCCCTATTGTTGAAGATCCCTCACCAGCTGGACTTTGCATAGGAATGTCGCGTTTCTTTCTCCCTGAAGTGATTAGCCTCCTTTCCTTCTCCTTGGTTAGCTGGTCAAGGAACAAGGGACTTTGTATTGCTTTAGCAAGGAAAGACATCATCTGTTGTTGTCTTTGCTCTGCTGCATATAACCGACTGTTCATTTCACGGATCTCAACATTGGTCGCTTGTTGTTGCTGTCGAAGTTTTATGAGCTCAAGCATCAACAGGTTCTTATCTTGCCTAAGTCTCTCGATTTTACCTTCGGGCCCAAACATTCCCAGCTGAGTAGAATAAGCATGACCTGGGTGGAGATGAACTTGCGAGGACTTGCGCCTGTGAATATTCTTAAGCAAATTCTTTTGCCCTCGAAGAAAGAATTTATTACCGAATTCCCATCGGTCAGGATCAACCTTGCGAAAACCCTGAAAATAAATGTTATGTAGAATGATAGGGGTCAAATAATCAATTACATGTTTGTTGAAAGCACCAGGATTGCATTTAAGCTGGAAAAATTACGAAAAAAAAAAAACAATTGCAATGAAGCAGGACAAACAGCTACCTGACCAGGTATCCAAGTATGTAGAATGGTAGCTGTTACATTGGTTCAAAAGACATGAAAATCTTCAGAAGAGAAACCCCAACTCAAAGAAATTCCCTTCAAACAAGTTTTTTTTTTTTCCAAATGGAATTACACAGGCCCCATTACAGGTGAAATCATGCTGTTTCACTGAACTTGTGCGTAGTTATGTTTAAATCAGATCAAATTTTCATGCCCACCATGTACATTTGCAGATGTGAATGAAAAAACAAATCAACATTCTAAGGTTACAACATTAAAAGTATCATGATGAAATCTTTCACTTGAATATGCAATCTCATTTACATTTGAATAATACTGTTTCTTAAAAATTATACTATATTCAAATTTCAGACGATGAAACCCCAAGAGCTTCATTTGTTTCAAAAAAAAAAAACAAAACAAAAAACCCCGAAGAGCTTCATTTTGTTTCAAGAACTATCAAACAGCATTTGCGCCCAATTACTAGGCCATAGAAACTGCAAAAAATTCCTTACAACATACTGAAATAATATTCTGCAACTACAGCGCCATGCCTTAACACGAAATTAGGGTTTCGATCTTACTCACATAAGTGTTGAGCTGGCGAACAAAACTCGAGAAGTTGTTGTGCTTGAAATATCGAGGAAGAATGATCCTAGAAAACTCATTTGGATCCCAAACCACAAATGTGTTGCCTCCCTGGCTCCAAGAAACAGTAGCATCAACGCCATGGTCCTCCACCATGTCATAGATCTTCACTAGAAAAGGAGGAACAGCAGGTTCTTGCAGAGCCTCCAACGGATGAGGCATGCTCTGGTTCTCGCCTTTAACACCAGGCTTCGACTCCATTGACAACAAAAACTAGGATTTCTAAAACAACAAGGCCAGTTTCTAAAACAACAAGGCCCTCTCTGAAACAAGCTAAGCTTTCTCCAAAGCGTTCCTCTTCTGCTGAGAATCAGGCTAGGGTTTCCACTGAGTTAAAAGCCTCGAAATCACTAGAAATGCAGCGAATCCAATGTGAAATCAAATTCTTAAGTTCCTCTCAAGATAAAAAACTAGGAAACCACTGTAAATTAAAATTCCTCAATAGAAAGAGAAAGTGCAGAGTCTCCAGCAAAAAGCAAGGAAATCAGTCAAAACAGCGGGAACTCAATGAAAAATCGAAGTCGTTTACAGAGAGAAAGTACCAGAAAAACACTGAAAACAGCGATAAATACTGTGAATTCGATATCCTCGACAGAGAGAAAGTGTAGAGACAGAAAATAAGGAAATCACTAAAAAAAGCGGTAAATTACTGAAAAATCGAAACTCGTTTAGAGAGAGAAAGTACCAGTAAAACACTGAAAACAGCTAGAAACACTGTGAATTCGATTTCCTCGATAGAGAGAGAAAGTGTAGAGAGAGAAAATACAAAGCAAATAAATCACTCAAAATAGCGGGAAATCACTTCAAAAATCGTTTAGAGAGAGAAAGTGTAGACAGAGAAAATATCCGAAAGTTGCTTAATTTTCAAGCGAAATAAAAATGGCGGTTATCATGGAACATTCTAGAAGGGCTTTTCAGGAGCCACGACAATGCACGAGAGATGAAACATGTGGACCAGATCCATTTATAGGTCGGTTGGAGCTATAGTATTTGGGACACGTGTCGTCGTCCGATACAGGTTCTCCGCGCTTTAGCGATATCATTGGATCTATCCGACACGTGGACAGATGGGCAGTGGCCTTGTGTCCGTTCCGATGAATGCCTCGTAGCTGGATTGAGTGCGTTGATCCCCGACACGTGTCGAGAACAAAGGTGTGATTCAGATTAGGTATGACACGGCAATTGTATGCTACTTTTGGGCGTGAGGGATATTTTGAGTTATTTGTGGGTATTTTGAAACAAAATAAAAAAGTTAAAGGTAAAGTGTTAAATAGTTAAACTTTCATAGGCAAATTGATGACCTTTTCTGAAAAAAAGAAACGAACGGTAAAGCCACATCTGTAATATCGTAGGATGTTGTAGTTTTGGTGGTCGAGAACCATCGAATTCAACCACACGGTCTTGCTTATTATGGATGTAAAAATAATAATTTAAAATTTTAACATGTTATTTATTTTCAAGTGCTCACAAATATATAAGATTCGTTCTACTTTCTAAACTACAAATTTTATAATTAGTGATGGAAATAGATTTTAGAGTCATCAAAATTTACATTACATAAATTATTTTTCTGGACAAAGTTTTAAGGGACCATGTCAATATTTTATTACCCTTGTTTAGGGTTTTTTAAACCAATCAATTAAATGCTCTTTGGTTGTTATTTGTTATAGACTAGGAATATAGATCTTTACTAAGTGGGCAAATTTTTTATAATTTGGCCCTTAGTCACTCAAGTCAAATAGATGTAAATTTCCCTTCTTTTAGGGGGTTCTAAATTCAAGACACTACTTTTTGAAAAAAAATGAGTTTTGATTTTGGAACTTGGAACAACCATACGTATTATTAGGCTAACTTAAGTGGCAAATTTTAATTTTGATGGAAGTTCTTACGAAAATCCTAAATTGGCTGGTATTGGTGATTTGACGGTCTTGTCAGAGATTCAATAGCCCAGTGCTACTCTCTTTCAACAACCTATATGATATTTCGTTAACTAGTAAGGCTGAATTTGGTGCTTTGTATCAAGGGTTGAAGTTACATGAGGAGAAGATTATTGAAAGGTTTTGTATCGTGGAAGGTGATTTGTTCAATGCGATTAATTGGTGCGATAAGGTGTGTACATCACCTAGGTCATTGTGTTCTTTATGGCTAGAGGTTATGGACTGCGATAAGGTGTGTACATCACCTAGGTCATTGTGTTCTTTATGGCTAGAGGTTATGGACTTATGCGGTCTTTTAGAGGTGACTTTCCAATATATTTACAGATAGGCTAATGGTATTGTGGATGCTTTGGTTAAGAGGTGGGGTTTTTTTTAATGAAAAAAGCTAGTGTTGGCCCATTAGCTTATAACTACATATGAGTCTAACAACCCAAATTGAATCTCAACCGATCCAATAATTACGATTGTATTTCGTATTTAAATTTTATATTTTTTAAAAATCCAAATCACTTTGAAAATTTGAGCATGTGTTCTTTCAAAATTGGAGAATTTAATAAAAATATTTTTTAAAAGAATTGTAAAAAATAAATTAATCAAAATACCCCCGAAACATTTAAAGGGTATTTTAATCAATTTATATTTCACGAATTATTTTTTGAATATTTTTATTATATGCGTCTTGATGAGAAAAATAAACACCTAAAATTTCATGTGATTTAGATTTATAAAAAAAACATTAAAATTAAAATACGAAATACAGTTATGGCCATCCAATCGACCTAGATTGAATCTGGGCCGTTGGGCTCATGTGTAGCTAGTTGTAGGCTCGTGAGCCTAAGCCAGCTTTTTCATTTTCTAGTTACTTGGTTGTAAAATCTAGAGCTTCAAAAAAAAAATGTAGATCGAGCAAATCCATGAAATCTTGAAAATTTTGAAAATTGATAGTCAAAAAATGCATTACACGATGCACTATTTCCAAAACTTTGAAATCCATTTTTGTCTCATGTCCATGTATCTTGATGTCGAGATGATCAATTTGGGGATATTTGGGCATCAAATAACGTCTTATAATGAAATTTTTGAGGTGGGCTCTAATTTGATTGTTTAGAGCCTCAGCTCTATATAAACTTTTCCACACACACATACATATTAGGCATTCTGTAGCAAATCAATTAAGGAGTACCTATACAAAATGATTTTTAAAACAATTGTTTTATTAGTAAATTAATTGATTTAATTACTTCTTGACTTTTTGAGGCGGTTCAAGCATTTTTTTTTTTCTCTTGTTTTGATCTTCATCCATCAAACCAATCTGTTATAATTTTAGTTGTGATAAATTCAATTTGCATTTTTTATCATAGTAAATTTCATTTATCAATAATAGTTTTTGATAATATATTGATAAAATTAATTTACTGCGAAATCTAAGGCCTCTAATTATTTTCGTGATGAGGAACTTTCTCATTAAATAAAGTAAGGAAACTACCAAATACGATCATTTTTCTTTTGAATAAGGTGGTCACAATTAATCTTGACCATTGGATGTGAAATTGGGTGGTTGCATTTATTTCATTGGCCAAGCTCAAAGTTTAAAACAAATTTTCTCAAACTTTCTGACACACCTAAGCTATCAGATTTAACATCGGATGGTTGTGAGTAATTGTAACCTTCTTATTTAAAAAGTAAATGGTTTCATTGTATACAATCTCATAAAATAAAATCATATATGCTATCTAAGACCAAAGTTATCAATTATAATTTAAAAATAGACATGTCATAACTTTAAAAAACTCTAAAATATCAATATGGCAAGTGGGGAGCAACTTACAAACATTTGATGATTTATATGAATATTAAAATTTTATACACATTCGATATTATTGTCAACTCTGTCGCTTTTCAAATAAACATACATTGTATATTTGTTTGGGTAAAATTTGAATTCATATATGGTAATATTAATAAAAAGTGTTTCATGATGACCATATATTATTTTGATATTTTGAAATCTCAAAAAATTATTTTGTAATATCATGATAGAAAAAACATACTAATAATATGCTGATAATATTTCCATCAAAAATATTTAATTGTAACTAAAATTCTGGGGTTGAGTTGTGCCAATAGTTGTCGCCAAAGTTCGTTGTACCAATTTTGGGCACTGAGCACACTTACAAAATTATTTGTACTAAAACAAGTCCATCTTTTATGAATCAAGTGTGCAAAAATTTATTTCCACCGAACCAGAAAAAGGCTAGGGTTCCAATACTCGATCTCCCACACTCAAAACTAGTGGTGGCAATGGACCCGGACCCGACCTGGGACCGAGGGGTACACTAGATCCGCTTCTGGCATGGATCTAAAAATTGGACCCAGCGGGTCCGTTCTGGGTCCAAATCTTGGACCCAAACACTATTCAGGTCCAGAACGGGGTCTGGGTCCGAGTCTGGCAATACTTTTTCGGTCCCTGTATATGAAATATATTTAAATATAGTTAAACACATAGATATTTTAATTTTTGGGTCGGGTCTGGTTTTGGTCGGACCCCGACCCGACCAGATCCATTTCCACCCCTATCAAAAACTAATGATAAATTAGTGGCCCAACCCATTTAAGTATAAAAATGCAATGGAAACATGGACAAAAATGGTTGTTTATAAATAATTTTCATCAACTTCTGGCATAGAATAATATATCGGGCACAAGCTCCTATTATGCGCACACGCGCTTTCACACACACGCGCACACACACATATATAATATATATAGTAAAAGCTAGCAATATGTTGCCACATAAAATGAATGGTCGTTTAAGTTATGCTCCTAGTCATCAGATATTGATTGGATCGTTGAAAATGTTTATTGTGCTTAATTATTAAGATAAAAAATTATTAATTGGTATATTGCGCTAGTAAGGAAAAAAATGATAGATATTTCAGCCCCTTTCACTTGGATTTCTTCTTACAATTTTTTTAGGAGAGAGAGAGAGAAAGAGCATGGGTGACAATGGGTTGGGTCGGGTCAAGTCGGGCTGGACCTAGACTCAATTAGACCCGATCCAAAAATCAAAATATCTATGTATTTAATTACATTTAAATATATTTCATATATTGAGATCCCAAAAATATTACTGGATCCACCCCACCAGGTCTAATTTTTGGACTTATAACCGAACCCAGATCAATTCTACCCCTCGAGTCCCGAGTCGGGTCTAAGTCCATTGCTACCCCAGAAAGAGAGAATTTTTTACAATGACTTTGGAAAAATTTATGAAAGTATGTCATTTGGAAACACTTGGATTTTTACCCAGTTACATTATGTTCTACATTGATAGGGTTGGAGTGGGTTCATGAGGGGAGAAAGACCATAATGAGTACCACATGAGGATTTACGCGTACGCATGTAAAGGCATATTTTTTAGTTTTAATAATATGTTATAATTTTACTTAGGGTGAGATTTGTGTAAGGTTGCAATCTTAAACAATCTGAGTAAAGTGCTCTTTAAACTTTGCCATGAGATGTAATTTTGGTGTTAAAAATCTGTAGGATGGCCCAATAATCTGTTTTCATTTTTAATGAAATTTTAAACTCCAATAATGGTTCAAATCAAACAGATTTATAATTTTAAACTCCAATATTGGTTCAAATCAAACATATTTATAAACACATGAAAATCTTCAAAATGGATGGTCTATATATTGTGTTGCAAAATCTACTATTTTTACGATCAAATGGATGGTTTTTAATGTCAACATAGCCTTTTATAAGGGAGTTTTGAGGTGCACCTTAATTATGCAATTTAAGGTCTCAACCTAATACAGATTTTATTTATTTATTTATTAGCTTCATGCTTAATTAGGATTAGTTTTTATCTTGTTGTACTTCACACATAACGAATATGGTTCGGTGATTATTGTACCGCGAACTTTGATCTTATATTTCTTGGATTTTGTCTAAGAATTGCATTATTATTTGTGAATTTT